CTCTCTCACACACACAGCTACTGACTATCAATACTGTATTTTAGTCTCCCACCATGCTTTGCATCAGTTGTAATGTGCTTAAAGGCTACCTTGCTTGCAACAGTCTGAGTCTCATTTGCCATGCAGACGAAGGTTTATTCTCTCCGTGCATTATTTAGCAGGGTGGCTCCTGAAGTGGGGTGCTGGTCCAGAGGGGTACTCAAAAAAGGGGCCTCCAGGGGTCCTCTGGAAAATTAAAGGCAGTTTAATTTCACTGCTGCTTCACTCACGACAAATTTAGATAATGAGCAACAACATTAACAAAAGATGTTCTTAGAAAGGAGTTTCAGGGGAAGGATACTTACAAGTGGTGAATTATAGGTTTGGGACTTTAATATGGATCTATTTATTTCACCAGCAGATTTAAGGAGAGCGCAACACCAAAAAGTCTAATAATACACAAATGAAGCAACCCAGAGTTGATTTAAGCCAGAGAAACCTTTATTCTTAACCTCAGTAAGTAAACACATTTAGTAGCTTTGACATTCATTTGCAAAATCAAATCCACAAAACAAAATAAATTACATACACCCGCAGTTAATCATTAGTTAAAAAGTGCAAAACACCTAGAAAGGCATGAGCTCCTTCTTGTAAAATAAATATCTGAACACACCCGAGCGCTTGGCCTGATCATTTTACAAAAAGACGACAGAAATTAAAACTGTATCTGTGAAGAAGCTGGAGTAAAGTGGGCCTCATTCAGCAGCAGTGTCTATCTGCTGAGCCTTTAAGCAGTAGCATTAGCAGGATGCAACATAGAAACTTTCTTTTTGGCACTGCCATGATGCACTGTGAAACGATACACCGAGGAAAAGATTAATTTGCACTCAGCAGACCTGAAGGCCATTCATCATTTTTTGGGGAGATTGGTAGCAGAAAAATGTTCCACAGAATTATTGTGTCCGTTTTTGTTCACTTTGCACCAGTTGCTGCTGCAGTTGCAAGGCTGAGACTGATATCACAGAATACATCTGAGTTTAATTTCACAGGTAATAAAATCTGAAGGAGGTCTTTACAATATCCCAGTCAAATGCAAAAGACAGAAGTGAATAAAAAGACAATACAGTAATGCAGACATGGATTTCAAGTAACACTACACACTTAGTGTCAAAGGTGCTTCCCTTCCAGTTATTCAACATACAGCTTACAATATTGGAGTAATTTGTTGGCCGTTTCAACAGTAATCTGTCATTTTGTCAAACTAATAGTCTAATAACACCACTGATGATCATACTGCCGACTACAGCCAGTCCAATGAAATCCCTGCTTTAAACTTGATCTCCATTAGGATTTCTCTCTGTGTCTCCATGGCCTTGTTGCAGCTCCTGTACTTCTAACACTGGAATGAATTAATGAAATGGAACATAAATATTTCACATCTGACTGGAGGACTGAAGAATATCAAAAAGAAACATTTTGGGGCAAATGAGGATCCGTTTATTGGCCCTTGAAATGAGTCTGAGTGAAAGTATGTGTGTTAAGAGGGGAGGGGGGTAAAAGGGTGGGCGGAGGAGGACAGGAGAAGATGTTCTCCCATGATGCAAGCCTCTTCTATCACATGGCGTCGAAATGGAAACGGTGGGCTTCCTGCCTCTTCTCTCGGTCGTCTGCTTTCTGAACAACACACAGAGAAACGTATACAGTCAAAAAGACGAATACATAGGACAAGAATGGATTGGAAGTGTTAGCATTTTGTAAACACACTGTAGCTTCTGGTTGGTAGAACAGTATCTTCTTTTATTTTCAGTGTCATGTCTCTGCCAGAAATGTTACCAGTTCTTTAAAGGAAGATGTAAGCAATGCATGGACTGAATCAATCCCCAATCCAACTGAAATCAAGAAGCAGCAAAAGGCCAGCATGCTGACAATTATTAATTGGAGGCTAATGTAATGCTAATGCTAACATACGATAAAAGAGCTGTGGATAGCTTTACAGTTGCTGTTAGTAGGAATGAGGACAGGATTAATGTCGGTTTTGTATTCATTTATCAGAAAGTAAAAAATCCAGACAGCAATCAGTACTACAGTAAACACTCCTGGTGTACAACACTTATAACCACGGAAACTACAGATCAAAGACGGTGATAGCTGTAAGCTGAATTTCACTGAGAAAAACTGGACTAAAATGACATTTTGTTAATGAAAACTAAAAGCGACCAAATGACTCATTTGTGACTAAAATGAACGTTGAACAAAAGACTAGACTAAAACCAAATCAATATCAGCTGCCAAAATGAACACTGATGTGTGCATCTATCTATGTGCATGTGAGTACGCTGTATTATTCCTAAACCTCAAGCTGAGAAAACAGCCTAAAGGTGGATATACAAGCTGCAATATGCCATTCAGTGATCCCTTCAGGCTGGAACAAGGGTTAAAGTCAGGCCCACTGTCAGATATTCACTGATTAAACATGGGCAGATAGCTTAATTAAATGAACCCACTGGTACATTGGTACATTAGTAGTGTATTATGTTCACTTTGCTTGTGTAACAACAACAACAACTACCAAGTCATTGGTTAAAAATGGAAGAAAAGCCTTTTTTTTGGGGGGGGGGGATAGACAGGAAATAAAATATGGTGGGTGCCCGGTTAGCTCAGTNNGGTTTAATTGCTGCGCCAGAAGCTGAAAGTGAAACTTAGGTCTATGTGCTCCGGTCACTTTCTGTCGGTCCAGGTTATATTTTTATCAGTGTTGGCGCCAAGTTAGCTCAGTCGGTAGAGCTGACGACCCATGTACGGAGTTGCTGCAGTGGCGCGGGTTTGAATCCGACCTGTGGCCCTTTGCTGCGTGTGATCCCCTCTCTCTCTGCCCACCTTTCCTGTCTATCTTCGGCTGTCCCTATCAATTAAGGCAATAAAAGGCCAAAAAATAACATAACAAGAAAATAAAATATGGTAAAAGTTGTAGTCTAATTTGAAAAACCACAAGAGAACAGATGTAGCAAGTGTTCAGTTAGACTTCTAGTTGGGAAGTTAAGCTTTTAATATTCAATTACAGAGTCACAAGCAGTAAATAAAGTCACCTCAATTATCATCTTGGAAAATCCTTTTTCTAAAACATTCTCAGGAGAAATTGTAAAACGATGCAAACGCTCTCACTCTCACTCACACAGCTCCTGTCCTTATGTGAATATGAAAAGGCCTTCCAAGGATAAGGGTTTATAAAAGGATAATACGTGTTTATTTATAGCAAACAGTCTATTATCATCATCTGGGCATTGAGACACACAGGCAGGTGCGATGGCTGGAGGCGGCGGCAGCGTAAGAGCTAAGCTGAGAACAAGCTGACAGACGTGCAAAATGTCATCAAAACAAAAGTTGTTAAAAACGAAGTATTAAAACAAAGTATTAGATAATTAGAAGCTAGCTTCAGCACTGGGGATGGGAGTTGATAAGATTTAATGATAGCAATACCATTATTGATTCTGCTTATCTGTCTGATTCTTTTTTCAATTCCCTTATTGATTCCTCATACATTTAACACAACTGCAAAGAGAACAACCAGTCCTCGATGTGAGCAAAAATGCATCTCAAAGTTCACTTGAAGAAATTCGAGGCTTCACTGATGATTTGATTAAGTTAATCAAACCTGGTGGGTATCTTATAGTCATTTCAGTAAAAGATTCTCTAGTTCCCTCAGACAACGTTTTCTTGCTGAGCTGCAGTGGAGGGATAGTAACTCAAAGAGGGAATTTTGTACTAAAAATAGTGTAACTTTGGAAGATCTTCATTTGATTTGACTAACTCAGACTGCTCGACACTCATATTAGCTTTGGCTGAACTTTGCATTTTTCCCCAGGTGGAGGACTGAGTATTTTGTCCTCCATCTTACATGGGAATCACATTAGGAGAGGGATCTTCATGTCCAGTATGGATAGGAGGAATAGTTTTAAGAAAGACAAATTTGACCTTCTTTGTATCCCTAGTTTTATCTAAAACTGCATCATAGTTTAGCTGATGACATATTTTGTAAGAAAAATCTTAATCTGCAGAGTCAAATAAATGTAGTGGGGAAAAAGTGCCTCAGAAGTGTGGTAGAGTAGATGTAAAAAGTAGCATGAAAAGGAAATTCTCAAGTAATGTACCTCACAATGGTACTTAAAGTTCCCCTCCACTCAAAATCTGTTGTTCTTCTTGTTCCTACAGTGTGCTGTTTGAATGCTGTCTGCAGAGTTTGACTCTAGAAGGATGTTTTCACATTCATCTGCTGAAAGTGGAAAGTTTCTCTGTGCTCCATGAACATCTGATTTTAAGGGGCGGGGCCTATGAGGAGGATTTGTGACATCACAAATAGTTTGGAAGTCAGTCCTGGTCAGACTATTTTTTATATGTCTTACTACATGTCTGGAGGAGATCTTTAAAATGAATATTTAAGTAAATTCACTTCCAAGCCTTGGGGTGTTAGTGTTTAATGCTCAAAAGATAGATTTTGCTTGGAATATCACGGGGTAACATTTCGTGATAACTTCATAATGGCTCAATTTACACGGCAGTACATTGGAATGAGGTTTGATGGGGCCCAGGATTAAAGCAGCGAAGCATGTCATCATACGCTTTGCCATTTGTCAGTAGTTGAGCACGAAAGAAAAAACTGATCCCATATCATCTGGACTGGTGACAGTGCAGTCAATAATGCATTTAGATCACTTCTGTGAGATCAGTGATGAACTGAGGATGGGGAGAAAACAGGCATCAATTTTAATGTATGTGAATGGAACCGTCTCTTTTGTCATTCCCTCAACACTTTGAATGTTGCAGTGTAGTAGCTCATGTTTTTGTATGGAAAGGACTGAACCCAATCTCAGTACATTAGAGAGACTCTTTGAGAGGACTGTCCCCTTTTGAAGGACAGCCAATCCTTCACTGATGTTGACTAATTTGCTGCACCCAAAAGATAGGCAGAAACAAATTTACTGCATTTTTTTATCCCGTCAGTTTTGATTTGTAATAAAGCCTTCATCAATCTTCCAAGATACTAGTGCCTCATATTGATTGATGTTGTGCTTTTATTTTTATTTTTTAGAGGAACATATTTTTAAGGAGCAGATGGGTTGATGTGATGTTCTTTCCTTTGGATAACCGATCCACTGGGCTGTGCTGCTGCTGAAGCCTGGTCTAATTGACTATCCAGGGGATAGCACCAAATTGTCATCCTGAGGCCTGAATCATCATTAAGCAGCAGAGCATTGATTTGTGTCCATCTGAAGGTTTTAATGACACAGTGGTGCGTCTGTGTCTAAAAGCAGGTGGAAAGCTACAGCGAGGCACGGTGTAGTCTCACTGGACTTTGATGTCAACTAATTAAGTCTGGCCTAAATGTCCTGCATGAAGATGATGGGTCTAAGGCGAGGAGATTGATTACATTCTGCTTCATTCCAAGTTTTCCCATCTGTATTATTTAAATACTCTGTTCCTTTCATTTCCTGTCCGACTTAATATTAATATCGATATGGTTAATATCCATTACCCCAGATAAAATTGTATTGCACAGAGGTTCACAGGACTTAAAAAAGCCCTGTTAGCTTGTTAGGCAGGACAGCACGTCTTTGCCCCTGTGCTTCTGCCCTCTACCTGACTTTGTTATTAGAAGAGCAAATACCAGAGGCGGCAGCGCAAACACACAGAAATGCCAAATGTCAATCAGCGGGCTCGCCCTGACCTTACGGTAGCCCCGCTGTAAAAGAGGTGGGAGAAGATGAGATATGAGGAAGGATGTTAGCGGCCGGTATATAGGATTCACCCTCAATCTTAAATTCCCTGGATGGTGCAGGAGGTTACACCACATTAGCCTGTCAGTGCAGATGTGTGTCCTTCAATTATTAAGGCCAGCCGAGTATTCCAGATTCAATCAATTTGGTTGTGTTTTCAAAAGCTGTCAGTTTGAACGCAGTGCTGCAGTAGGGTGACACAGTGTGTCAACTCCGCAGTTTTACACCAACACTGTTTGACTGATTGAATTAGAAATGGCAAAGTTCTGATTCATAGTTAGAAATTGTTATGTATAACTTAATAAAGTGGCAGAAAACAAGTAATGGACGTAATGAGAAAAGCATCATCGCTATGGATTTTATTACATGTAAAACTAAAAATGTTATTATTTGCATGAGATATAGTGCCCATGTGGTGAAACATCACATTCTCCTAAAGAGCAGATCACAGAAAAAGGGATCTCTATTAAGAGGAATGACGTAACTAATCCATGAACTAATTCATCATTGTATTTTATAGGCATAAAAGTGATTAAGCCCAGCTCAGCTCTCTCTTTCCCCAGAAAAAGAGAGAAGCCTTCTGGATTTTTTGTACCTCCAAAGTTTTGTTTCCAGGAAGCATGGATGGAAGATTTCTCAAATAAGCTTATTTATGTGTTTTTATAATGTCTCTCATGACTGCTTCTATTTTTATCTTAGCTTTAATATATTTTAGACAGTTTCATAGTATGTCACACTTGTACACAGGCACAGTTTGTGTAAAGACCTCTCTTATACCAGCTCCCCCCCGTGCACTGTGATGCACTTGTAAGCACTCGTTGCTTCTTGTTGACCTTAAACCGCACGGCCATGCTAAACCCATCCATGTGTGAATCTTTTTTTTTTTTTTTTAAACAAAGTGTTGGAGTTTTGACCTCTTCAGACTGTTTAGGTCCATTTTAGGGGATGTGTTTATGAGTTTTTCTGGCAGCCTAAGGTTCTGTAAGTAAGTCATTTTTCTGCAGACGTGTAGAAAACTTCCATGACATGGATGCTCATGAGACCAGAAAAGTTGATGAACTGAAAAAAGCCAAAAGTCTGTGTAGCTAAAAGGTAAAGACAGAAGTCAACTATGTTTCTGTATGGACATTGAACTTAAAATACTGTGGGATTATGTTTAGTAGAAAACCAGTTCAATGTTAAATGTATATTCGGTAAGTGTAGCACATTTATTTTGTTCTGAGTTGCCAAAACACATCATTATGAATTTGCTTCAGCTTTGACTAAACCTCTGACTGACTTCTGTTCCATAGCAGCAGGGGCTCCTGGGTATTGTATAAAATGAAATAAAAAACTACTGGCCTTAAGATAAATCTATAGCATCATTAAATTATTCAGAAGTGTGTTTCTATGTTGAGGAACATTGAGGATAAAAGTTGATGAAAAACTAGGCAATCAAAGTGGCAAGAATACTTCCGTAACAGCGGCGTCTGTATTGGGTAAGTAATGAACAAGGCAAACATGGATAACTTTGACTGGTCAGCCTAAGCACATTACAGAAGTCAAAGCCAAAAAACGTGCTTCTTTGCCTGTGTGAACATGTCAGATTTGATTTCATGATATACTGCCAGCCGCTGCAATTGTGACATTTTCTTTAATGGGCATTTGTCTCACTCTTCTTGTTTCTCAACCCTCCACATGACCTTCAACCCCTCGCATATCTCCTCCCATCCACCTGAGCCTGCTAGGTGTACGTACGTAGACGCTCCAATCCGGCACCAGCCATGTTTTTTTCAAATGCAGTGTCGGTTCAGATGAAGCTCACGCCCACGTTTCCCAAAAAGAGGGCAATTAGAGCGTGTCTGTGTGTAGCCATGCACACATGCCATCCTGCGTGTACACACACACACACGGCAGATGGCTTGGAGAAGATGCCAGCAACTTCCTGCACTGCTCAGCCCGGCAGACAGCACTACCACAGTGTGTGTACATAAAAAGGAAACAAATCAAGGAACATGAAAAAAAAGTACATTCGTGAGAATTACTGTTAAATTATGTTTGCCACTGTGTGAGCTCGACCATGATATGTCTGGGTACACTTCTGTTATGTGTGTGTGTGTGT